GGCGTCCCTGTGTGTGTGTGTCTGTGTGTGTGTCGTGTGTGTGTGTGTGTGTGTGTGTGTGTGTGTGTGTGTGTGTGTGTGTGTGTGTGTGTGTGTGTCTGTCAACACGATAACTTAAAAGGCTTTAATGGAATGGAATGGAATATTTGGTAGGTGGGTAGGTCTTGGTGAGACCTGGGAATGATTAGATTTTGGAGTCCTAGCGTCTTCTGATCAACTGGTATAATTGAAGGAAATGAGGATCCTATTTGCATAATCAGGGGGAATAATCTATAATTTGTCAGTCATGAAGATTAATATCATTTGGCGAAGGTATGAGATCGTGGAACTCTAGTTATTATGTTCAACAGGTTCAGTTCAGTCTAAAAGTTGCTGATACGTACCGTTCAGACTAACCTCGGACTTACCTCGGAAGATAAGCGAATTTCTCGGCTTAATTAAAAGCAGTTTCGATTATTGTGTAATCATTGTTTACTACGTCAACATACATGTACAACAACAAACTAAATCATGCCTGTCATTCACATTGGCCTACCCACGGGATGGACACATTTCACAGCATTTTGAACATGAACAGATCACAAATGTTGCAAAAACAAACAGTGCACGATTGTATTTAAGAGGTGATTTTAATGCATGACAAAATTCTTGAGCAGTACTAGATATGAAGATCTACAAATAACAATGCTTAGGAGTTCTATATACCGATGATATTCAATCCGTATACCACGTCTCTACGATGCGATTGGCATATATTTAAGGGATACTCAATATTCTTACTTGAAAAGTTTCCAACTACATACTAGTATGTTACGATGGAAATTATGATTAATTTTAGTTGTTTTACGTTATCACTCTTATTTCAGGACTAAAATTTGACACTTGGATTATAAACCTTACCCAGAACTTCCTTCTGCAATGAAAATGAAACATACCCACATTGCTGTCTATCCGATTCCTGTTTTTTATGAAAGAGAGGCATGCATCGGGAAACAACAAAGAATATATTGTTTTTCACCCATCCGGCGTCCACACCTACTCATGTACAAAGCATGCAGAACGCTGAATGTCGCTCATGGGGACTTACATGATTAACGACTAGCCTCCTCCGCAGACTTCTTGCGTTGGAGCGGCGGCATTTATTATATATTTGAGGGGGGGGGGTGCTGATACGCATTTTGTACACGCGCGTAAAGGTTTTGTAATACAGCAGAGGGAGTTGTGCCTCTCCAACAAACACGGGCGATACAGGATACATCTCTCTCTATCGGAACAGCCCCTGAAAAGATACCGCGGCTCCAACTGTCCTAATAGAAGTCTGGCTAAAGACCTGGTCACAACCCGGCGTACGTGCTTTTTGTCCGTACGTTTTTTGGGAGGCTACGTCTGCTACGTTTTTTCTGAAAACGTGGGGAAGGAGTTGCGTCGACGCACGATACTCGCATGGTTGCGCAAGGTGTAATACTAATAGTGTGGTCTGCACGCCACGTCTGGCCGTAAGAGGTTGCGTGCATCGTTCATTTCGAAAGTGGTGAGTTGTACGTGCTTACAACGTGCGATCTCTGTACTATTGCAACTTTACCGCAAGGAGGTCGTACTCTCACGTGTTTCTTCCGTACGGTACGTACGGGGCACGCGCGTATTCTCCAAGCAGAGGTTTGGGTTTTGGGGTTATTTTTAGCATGTTTTTAGGTTTTTTTTTTATCGGGGTTTCTCTTTTGCACTTGGTGGGGAAAAAAACTAAAAAAAGAAACCCCGATTAAAAAAAGCCTAAAAACACGCTAAAACAAGAATTCCGAGATTTCATACCTCCATGAAATATGAGCTTGACATGTAAATGTAAATTTCCTCTTTAATTATGCAAATTACCTCCGCATTAACATGATATATGCATCGTGATGTATGTTAACTTTTGATTAACTTACAGATGTCCAAAGTATGACATTCCCATTATTCACCATTAAGAAATCATAGAATTTTTGCATAAATTATGCAAATTAGGTCATCATTTGCATAATTAGTATCTGTTGATGTTCTGCCTGCCATTGGTTACATACATTACATGTATGAAAGTAGTATAATGTAAAACACTGTAATCATAGAATTTCCTCATTCATTATGCAAATAAAGTCCTCATTTGCATAATTTGCATTTAATCATGTACATCTCTTTCTTAGCTACCTACACACCAAAAATTATGAAAATATGTTGTTCCTATCTGGACTTATTGGCTTTTAAACATTTCGCCAGAAAGTGCCCTGCAGTTCCAAAACAAGCTGCTAGGGGGACCAAACCCACACCACTTATCCCTGACAAGAAAAGCTATCTGTCACCAAAAATTCAAGACCATAGCATGTTCAGGACCAAAGATACAAAAACCGGAAGTTCTGCTGCAGTACCAAGGTCATCCACCAGGAGGCCTATATTTGACCTTGACCTTTGTCTTCCTAAGCCTTATCAGCATACCAAATATCATCACAATCCATAAAGGCGTTATGAAGTTATGCTGACTACAAAGTTGCGGAAACACACACAGACACACACACACACAGACACACAGACAGACACACAGACAGACGCCGCCAAAAACAATACCTCCATTTTTCATGGAGGTAATTAACCCCAAAACCCAAACCTCTGCTTTGAGAGTAGTACGGGTGGTGAATCCGCAGACCGCACGTAGAAACAGGTTTACATGCTACGGCGTGTCTGCGTGTTCCCAAATCCGTAGGATTCCGTACGGAGGCGGTACTCACCACGCACGTGCCCTGCGTTTGCCCGCGTTTTTGCACGTAGACAGCACGCAGAAGCACGTACGGCGCGTTGTGACCAAGCCATAACATGGAACTTGTGGAACTGGAAAAACTTGGATAGTCCAAAAAACTTGGCAGTCTGAAAGCTATTAATAATTTTTATACCACACAGCACAGTTTACTCCTGGCTACGTGTACCTCTCACATAAGACTTTCTAACCAGGCTTCAAGAATTTCGCCCGTCGTGGATAATGCTATAGGCTTAGCTACGCGCGAGCGGTCTGACTTCTTAACACTCTACAATACTCAGAAGACTGGTGTTGCACATGGGTATTGTTTCCTTTGCTTATATTGAAACTTGACCGGCTAAGGTGAAACCATTACGTGGAACGAAAGAGCGCGGGTCTATCTAAGAAGGCCCTAACAAAAGTCTTCTCCATTGACGTACTATACCTACACTAATAGTGTTGAGGCAGTTGAGTTTCCGGGGGTGGGGACGGGGAGATTTTTCGTAGAGAGAGTTGTATCCGCCAAGAGTGTTTCATTGC